CAAGAAATGGGGGGGGGGGGGGGGGTTTTTTTGGGTTTTTTTTTTTCCCGGGGCAAGAGGGAGGCTTTTTTTTCAATATTGGGACCCTTTTTTCCCTTTTCCCCCCGGTTTGGAGGCAAAAAAAAGGAACCCCCCCCCCCCTTTTTCGGGTAGGGGAAGGTTTCCCTGGCCCAAAAAACCCGGGGGGAAAAAATGTTTTTTTGGCACAAAATTTCCGGGAAATAAAAAAAGAGCCCCCCCCCCCCCCCCCCCCTCCCACTCGCGGAGAGTCGAGGGACGGGCGAAAGGGAGCGCGCGGGGAATTCACACACATTCATCAACCCATCGGTTTGCCTTTAAAAGCAGACGTGCGCCTGCTTGTCAGAGACCATCAGGTCATTGTTTTGCCTTCAAAAGCAGACGTGTGCTTGCTTGTCAGAGACCATCAGGTCAGTCATTGTTTTGCCTTCAAAAGCAGAAGTGCGCCTGCTTGTCAGAGACCATCAGGTCATTGTTTTGCCATAAAAAAGCACACGTATGCTTGCTTGTCTGAGACCATCAGCTCATTCGGTTTGCCTCAAAAAGGAGACGTATGCTTGGTTGTCACAGAGACCTTCAGCTCATTGGTTTGCCATAGAAGCAGAACGTGTGCTTGCTTGTCAGAGACCATCTCTTCTTAATTAAATTACTACAGCAAGACAGACTGTTCCCTCGTGACACACACGTGCTCTTCCCACTGCCCGATATACTCAACATTGTTGGCCACATCATATGCCGCGAAGGCAGGCACCGCCAACCTACGACGACGGCGATGGCGGGCAAATCTTCTTCACCGACGGGCAAAAAAAAACTCTCCCCCACCCTCTTTCTATCCTCCTCCTCCTGCCTCTCTGCTCCTCCTTCTTGCAGTCCCGAGGTAGGTGCCGATATGCATACCACACGAAAACTATTCTTGCCCATCGATCAATCTTGGGACCACTACCAGGCAACAAAGGACACCATCCGAACAGAATAAATTGTCGGGTAAACAGATCCCGGGAGCTACGTGCCACCCAAAACCTCTACGCATCAAAACAATCATCATTCCTCTCTCCTCTCTGTTCATAACTTACCACCACCATACCACATCAAACATCCGGTATAGCAACCCCCCCCCCCCCCACGAATCCCAAAAAACACCAAGGCCCCTCTCCTACATGGGAAAAAACCTGTGCAAA